TGAGTCTACGGGTCTCTATGTGAGTCTACTGGTCTCTGTGTGAGTCTACGGGTCTCTATGCGAGTCTATGGGTCTCTGTGTGAGTCTACGGGTCTCTGAGTGAGTCTATGGGTCTCTATGTGAGTCTATGGGTCTCTATGTGAGTCTATGGGTCTCTATGTGAGTCTATGGGTCTCTGTGTGAGTCTACGGGTCTCTGAGTGAGTCTATGGGTCTCTGAGTGAGTCTATGGGTCTCTATGTGAGTCTATGGGTCTCTATGTGAGTCTATGGGTCTCTGTGTGAGTCTACGGGCCTCTGAGTGAGTCTATGGGTCTCTATGTGAGTCTATGGGTCTCTATGTGAGTCTACGGGTCTCTGTGTGCTGAGTCTACGGGTCTCTATGTGAGTCTACGGGTCTCTGTGTGAGTCTATGGGTCTCTGTGTGAGTCTATGGGTCTCTATGCGAATCTATGGGTCTCTGTGTGAGTCTACGGGTCTCTATGTGAGTCTACAGGTCTCTATGCGAGTCTATGGGTCTCTGCGTGAGTCTATGGGTCTCTGCGTGAGTCTATGGGTCTCTGCGTGAGTCTATGGGTCTCTGTGTGAGTCTATGGGTCTCTGCGTGTGTCTATGGGTCTCTATGTGAGTCTATGGGTCTCTATGTGAGTCTATGGGTCTCTGAGTGAGTCTATGGGTCTCTATGTGAGTCTATGGGTCTCTATGTGAGTCTACGGGTCTCTGAGTGAGTCTATGGGTCTCTATGTGAGTCTATGGGTCTCTGAGTGAGTCTATGGGTCTCTATGTGAGTCTATGGGTCTCTGCGTGAGTCTACGGGTCTCTGAGTGAGTCTATGGGTCTCTATGTGAGTCTATGGGTCTCTATGTGAGTCTACGGGTCTCTGTGTGCTGAGTCTACGGGTCTCTATGTGAGTCTACGGGTCTCTGTGTGAGTCTATGGGTCTCTGTGTGAGTCTATGGGTCTCTATGCGAGTCTATGGGTCTCTGTGTGAGTCTATGGGTCTCTATGCGAGTCTACGGGTCTCTATGCGAGTCTATGGGTCTCTGCGTGAGTCTATGGGTCTCTGTGTGAGTCTACGGGTCTCTATGTGAGTCTACTGGTCTCTGTGTGAGTCTACGGGTCTCTGTGTGAGTCTATGGGTCTCTGTGTGAGTCTATGGGTCTCTGTGTGAGTCTACGGGTCTCTGTGTGAGTCTATGGGTCTCTGTGTGAGTCTACGGGTCTCTGAGTGAGTCTATGGGTCTCTATGTGAGTCTATGGGTCTCTATGTGAGTCTATGGGTCTCTATGTGAGTCTATGGGTCTCTGTGTGAGTCTACGGGTCTCTGAGTGAGTCTATGGGTCTCTGAGTGAGTCTATGGGTCTCTATGTGAGTCTATGGGTCTCTATGTGAGTCTATGGGTCTCTGTGTGAGTCTACGGGCCTCTGAGTGAGTCTATGGGTCTCTATGTGAGTCTATGGGTCTCTATGTGAGTCTACGGGTCTCTGTGTGCTGAGTCTACGGGTCTCTATGTGAGTCTACGGGTCTCTGTGTGAGTCTATGGGTCTCTGTGTGAGTCTATGGGTCTCTATGCGAATCTATGGGTCTCTGTGTGAGTCTACGGGTCTCTATGTGAGTCTACAGGTCTCTATGCGAGTCTATGGGTCTCTGCGTGAGTCTATGGGTCTCTGCGTGAGTCTATGGGTCTCTGCGTGAGTCTATGGGTCTCTGTGTGAGTCTATGGGTCTCTGCGTGTGTCTATGGGTCTCTATGTGAGTCTATGGGTCTCTGAGTGAGTCTATGGGTCTCTATGTGAGTCTATGGGTCTCTATGTGAGTCTACGGGTCTCTGAGTGAGTCTATGGGTCTCTATGTGAGTCTATGGGTCTCTGAGTGAGTCTATGGGTCTCTATGTGAGTCTATGGGTCTCTGCGTGAGTCTACGGGTCTCTGAGTGAGTCTATGGGTCTCTATGTGAGTCTATGGGTCTCTGTGTGCTGAGTCTACGGGTCTCTATGTGAGTCTACGGGTCTCTGTGTGAGTCTATGGGTCTCTGTGTGAGTCTATGGGTCTCTATGCGAGTCTATGGGTCTCTGTGTGAGTCTATGGGTCTCTATGCGAGTCTACGGGTCTCTATGCGAGTCTATGGGTCTCTGCGTGAGTCTATGGGTCTCTGTGTGAGTCTACGGGTCTCTATGTGAGTCTACTGGTCTCTGTGTGAGTCTACGGGTCTCTGTGTGAGTCTATGGGTCTCTGTGTGAGTCTATGGGTCTCTGTGTGAGTCTATGGGTCTCTGTGTGAGTCTACGGGTCTCTGTGTGAGTCTATGGGTCTCTGTGTGAGTCTATGGGTCTCTGTGTGGGTATATAGGTCTCTGTGTGAGCCTATGGGTCTCAGTGTGAGTCTATGAGTCTCTGTGTGAGTCTATGGGTCTCTGTGTGAGTCTACGGGTCTCTGTGTGAGTCTATGGGTCTCTGTGTGAGTCTATGGGTCTCTATGCGAGTCTATGGGTCTCTGTGTGAGTCTATGGGTCTCTATGCGAGTCTACGGGTCTCTATGCGAGTCTATGGGTCTCTGCGTGAGTCTATGGGTCTCTGTGTGAGTCTACGGGTCTCTATGTGAGTCTACAGGTCTCTATGCAAGTCTATGGGTCTCTGCGTGAGTCTATGGGTCTCTGCGTGAGTCTATGGGTCTCTGCGTGAGTCTATGGGTCTCTGTGTGAGTCTATGGGTCTCTATGCGAGTCTACGGTTCTCTATGTAAGTCTACGGTTCTCTATGTGAGTCTACGGGTCTCTATGTGAGTCTACGGGTCTCTATGCGAGTCTACGGGTCTCTATGTGAGTCTACGGTCTCTATGTGAGTCTACGGGTCTCTACGTGAGTCCACGGGTCTCTATGTGAGTCTACGGGTCTCTGTGTGAGTCTACGGGTCTCTGTGTGAGTCTATGGGTCTCTATGCGAGTCTATGGGTCTCTGTGTGAGTCTACGGGTCTCTGTGTGAGTCTACGGGTCTCTATGTGAGTCTACAGGTCTCTATGCGAGTCTATGGGTCTCTGCGTGAGTCTATGGGTCTCTGCGTGAGTCTATGGGTCTCTGCGTGAGTCTATGGGTCTCTGTGTGAGTCTATGGGTCTCTGCGTGTGTCTATGGGTCTCTATGTGAGTCTATGGGTCTCTATGCGAGTCTACGGTTCTCTATGTAAGTCTACGGTTCTCTATGTGAGTCTACGGGTCTCTATGTGAGTCTACGGGTCTCTATGCGAGTCTACGGGTCTCTATGTGAGTCTACGGTCTCTATGTGAGTCTACGGGTCTCTACGTGAGTCCACGGGTCTCTATGCGAGTCTACGGGTCTCTGTGTGAGTCTTCGGCGATGAAGACGCAGACGACGACGATGCAACGGCGAAGCTTTAAACGTTCTGAGCGTAGCTGGGGCTCCGCTCACTTTTCGTCGGAATGAGAAATGCCCAAGAAACTTTGAAAGCAGCTGGGAAGGCTAAGCTCGCTCGCTCGCCGAGCCGAGCCGAGCGTTATTTATGTGTTTACCACCCCCACCAGCCAGCTCGGCCTCCTGTCGCCGGTTTTTAAATCCTTTATATTAAGTTCATTTGCTTGCTTGCGTGCTTGCTTGCTTACGACCGTGCAAATCTTTCGGTCCTTTTTTTAACCCACTTCCCGTGATCCAATCGAGCTGACATTTTGCACACAAACTCGTTGTGCGTGACAATTAATTTTTGGTGAAAAAAAATTGCAAAATTTTACACTGTTTAGGGAAATTTTTTTAAATATTTAATTACCAATTGCTTAATGGTGGCAGACAATCATCTGACCCATAGGTGGCAGCCATCTCAAGCCAGAGGACGAGAGAACTCTAGCCGCCACGCATATAAAGGATTTAGAGTGAAAAACTTTGTTTTTACGGGTTAATTTTTTACCACACCGCGTTGCATCTTCACGTGCGATTCCGCGCCATCCGTGGGGAGCGGTGGGTGTAGCGGTTAGCGCTACGCCGCGCTACGAACCCGGCAACCCGAGTTCGATTCCCGCTCGCGGCCGACACCCGCTGAAGATTATCTGGGCCTCCTCTAGGTTGACTCGGCCTAAAATTAGTACCTGGGTGCGGTGTGTAAAAGATCGACACTGGGGAGACAAAGGCGGTCGGGCGTGGTGCTGGCCACCCACCCCCTCGTGTGCCGTGCCGGCCTTCGTAGGCGCTCGCTAGCAGCACTTGCCCCTACAGTCTGTTAAGGCTATAGGGGGGATCATTGTCTGTGTCTGTGACGCACACCGGCATGACGTCACGCGAGATTGGACTGAGGGAGGGGGGGTGATAATGTCATGAGACGCAGAAGACCACGAGGAGAGAGAGAGACACGCGAACTCCAAATATACAGCAGCAGGCGTCAGGGTCAGGATTGAACCCATGACCTCCTCGCCTGGTACACAGGAGGTCGTGGGTTCGATCCCGACCCTGACGCCTGCTGCTGTATATTTGGAGTTTGCGTGTCACTCTCTCATCATCATCACGGTGGCTAGGAGATGTTAACTACCTCGCCTGGTATACAGGAGGTCGTGGGTTAAATCCTGACGCTGACGCCTGCTGTATATTTGGAGTTTGCGTGTCTCTCTCTCTCTCATCATCACGGTGGCTAGGAGATGTTAACTACCTCGCCTGGTATGCAGGAGTTCGTGGGTTCGATCCCAACACTGACGCCTGCTGTATATTTGGAGTTTGCGTGTCTCTCTCTCTCATCATCATCACGGTGGCTAGGAGATGTTAACTACCTCGCCTGGTAGGCAGGAGGTCGTGGGTTCAATCCTGACCCTGACGCCTGCTGTATATTGGACCCTTTTGCCTTCTGTATATTTCAGTTTGCGTGTCTCTCTCTCTCTCTCTCATCATCATCACATCTCCCAGCCACCGGTAAAAGTTTGGGTTGGATGGATGGTGGTGGGGGGGGGGTGTTGGCTCTGAAAGTTTGTGTGTTAACGCAGCGTTGGGGGGGGGGGCTGTCTTTGTGTGCTCACAGACCGTGGGGGGTTCGGCGGACGATCTCGTGGTCGCGGCCGAGGTCGCCGCGAGGCGACGGGCGACGACGACGCGCCGGGAGCGGCGGGCGGGGGGCGGCCATCGGCCCCTAGCACGCTGTTCGACTTCCTCAACCCCAAGATGGAGGCCCTGTCCCTGGACGGTGAGTGAGCGGGGCGAGTGAGAGGGTGAGCGGGTGAGAGAGTCAGTGAGTGGGTGAGAGGGTGAGCGGGTGAGAGAGTCAGTGAGTGGGTGAGAGGGTGAGTGAGTGAGAGGGCGGGTGAGAGAGCGAGAGAGAGAGTGAGTGAGTGAGCGCGTGGGTGGGGCGAGAGAGCGAGTGAGTGAGCGGGTGAGAGAGTGAGTGAGCGGGTGAGAGTGAGTGTGAGTGAGTGAGAGAGTGAGTGAGCGGGTGAGAGAGTGAGAGGGCAAGTGAGTGAGCGGGTGAGAGAGTGAGTGAGTGAGTTAGCGCGTGGGTGGGGCGAGAGAGTGAGTGAGTGAGCGAGTGAGTGAGCGGGTGAGAGAGTGAGAGAGTGAGTGAGAGAGTGAGAGGGCGAGTGAGCGGGTGAGAGAGTGAGTGAGCGGGTGAGAGAGTGAGTGAGAGAGTGAGTGAGTGAGTGAGTTAGCGCGTGGGTGGGGCGAGAGAGTGAGTGAGTGAGCGAGTGAGTGAGCGGGTGAGAGAGTGAGAGTGTGAGTGAGAGAGTGAGAGAGTGAGCGGGTGAGAGAGTGAGAGGGTGAGTGAGTGAGCGGGTGAGCGGGTGAGTGAGTGAGCGGGACGAGTGAGAGGGTGAGAGGGTGGGTGAGGGAGCGGGTGGGTGGGTGAGTGAGCGGGTGAGAGAGTGAGTGAGCTAGTTAATGAGCGAGTGAGAGAGTCAGTGAGAGAGTGAGAGAGTGTCAGTGAGAGAGTGAGTGAGCGGGTGAGAGAGTCAGTGAGAGAGTGAGTGAGAGCGAGTGGGCGAGTGAGAGGGTGAGTGAGCGGGTGAGCAAGGGGGTAGACTTGGGTGAGCGAGCGAGTTACATAATGAGTGTGAACATGCTAGCGAGTGAGTGGGTGACTGAGTGAGTGAGTAAGTGGGTGAGAAGGTGAGTGAGTGGGTGAGTGAGAGAATGAGCAACTGGGTGAGTGAGTGCGTGAGTGAATGGGTGAGTGAGCAAGTGGGTGAGTGAGTGAGTGAGCGCGTGGGTGGGGCGAGAGAGCGAGTGAGTGAGCGGGTGAGAGAGTGAGTGAGCGGGTGAGAGTGAGTGTGAGTGAGTGAGAGAGTGAGTGAGCGGGTGAGAGAGTGAGAGGGCAAGTGAGTGAGCGGGTGAGAGAGTGAGTGAGTGAGTTAGTGCGTGGGTGGGGCGAGAGAGTGAGTGAGTGAGCGAGTGAGTGAGCGGGTGAGAGAGTGAGTGAGAGAGTGAGAGGGCGAGTGAGCGGGTGAGAGAGTGAGTGAGCGGGTGAGAGAGTGAGTGAGAGAGTGAGTGAGTGAGTTAGCGCGTGGGTGGGGCGAGAGAGTGAGTGAGTGAGCGAGTGAGTGAGCGGGTGAGAGAGTGAGAGTGTGAGTGAGAGAGTGAGAGGGCAAGTGAGTGAGCGGGTGAGAGAGTGAGTGAGTGAGTTAGCGCGTGGGTGGGGCGAGAGAGCGAGTGAGTGAGCGGGTGAGAGAGTGAGTGAGCGGGTGAGAGTGAGTGTGAGTGAGTGAGAGAGTGAGTGAGCGGGTGAGAGAGTGAGAGTGTGAGTGAGAGAGTGAGAGGGCAAGTGAGTGAGAGAGCGAGAGAGTGAGTGAGTGAGTGAGCGCGTGGGTGGGGCGAGAGAGCGAGTGAGTGAGCGGGTGAGAGAGTGAGTGAGCGGGTGAGAGTGAGTGTGAGTGAGTGAGAGAGTGAGTGAGCGGGTGAGAGAGTGAGAGGGCAAGTGAGTGAGCGGGTGAGAGAGTGAGTGAGTGAGTTAGCGCGTGGGTGGGGCGAGAGAGTGAGTGAGTGAGCGAGTGAGTGAGCGGGTGAGAGAGTGAGTGAGAGAGTGAGAGGGCGAGTGAGCGGGTGAGAGAGTGAGTGAGCGGGTGAGAGAGTGAGTGAGAGAGTGAGTGAGTGAGTTAGCGCGTGGGTGGGGCGAGAGAGTGAGTGAGTGAGCGAGTGAGTGAGCGAGTGAGTGAGCGGGTGAGAGAGTGAGAGAGTGAGAGGGCAAGTGAGTGAGCGGGTGAGAGAGTGAGTGAGTGAGTTAGCGCGTGGGTGGGGCGAGAGAGTGAGTGAGTGAGCGAGTGAGTGAGCGGGTGAGAGAGTGAGAGAGTGAGTGAGAGAGTGAGAGGGCGAGTGAGCGGGTGAGAGAGTGAGTGAGCGGGTGAGAGAGTGAGTGAGAGAGTGAGTGAGTGAGTTAGCGCGTGGGTGGGGCGAGAGAGTGAGTGAGTGAGCGAGTGAGTGAGCGGGTGAGAGAGTGAGAGTGTGAGTGAGAGAGTGAGGGAGTGAGCGGGTGAGAGGGTGAGAGGGTGAGTGAGTGAGCGGGTGAGCGGGTGAGTGAGTGAGCGGGACGAGTGAGAGGGTGAGAGGGTGGGTGAGGGAGCGGGTGGGTGGGTGAGTGAGCGGGTGAGAGAGTGAGTGAGCTAGTTATTGAGCGAGTGAGAGAGTCAGTGAGAGAGTGAGAGAGTGTCAGTGAGAGAGTGAGTGAGCGGGTGAGAGAGTCAGTGAGAGAGTGAGTGTGGGCGAGTGAGAGGGTGAGTGAGCGGGTGAGCAAGGGGGTAGACTTGGGTGAGCGAGCGAGTTACATAATGAGTGTGAACATGCTAGCGAGTGAGTGGGTGACTGAGTGAGTGAGTAAGTGGGTGAGAAGGTGAGTGAGTGGGTGAGTGAGAGAATGAGCAACTGGGTGAGTGAGTGAGTGAATGGGTGAGTGAGCAAGTGGGTGAGTGAGTGAGTGAGAGAGTGAGTGAGTGAGTAAGTGGGTGAGCAAGTGGGTGAGTGAGTGAGTGGGTGAGCAGTTGAGTGAGTGGGTGAGTGAGTGAGAGAATGAGCAAGTGGGTGAGTGAGTGGGTAAGCAGGTGAGTGAGTGGCTGAGCAGGTGAATAAGTGAGTGAGCGTGCGCGTGTGTGTGCGTACATGTGTGTGCGCGCGTGTGTGTGCGTACATGCGCGTGCACACGCGTGTTACTCTTCACCCGGATTTCACGCCACATCCATTTATTTTCACCGTACCCCCCCCCCCATCAGAGTCAACGACTGCTGGCGTTTGAACGCTATTCCTCAATACGAATGCTCAGCCTTTTTAAGTTCACAAACTCGTTTAGGATGATTTCCAATTCAGCAGGAATTCTAGAACTTTAATTTCACTTTCTCCTCCCCGAGAATGCCGTGCAGGTTCGTCGTCGTCGTTATTTCGCCGGGAACAAATGAGGCCAATTAAAAGTGTGTCGGTGCTCGCTGATGTGTTTTGGTATTTCGCGGTGAACCCGGCCTGGATACTTTGAAAACTCGTCTTTTCTCTCACCAATCGCTGGAGCAAGTTTGGCCCCGCGGCCTTTGACAGCGGGGATGTGCTTGCGGTGTCGCTGCTTAGACCGCGAGTGGTTATTTTAGAAATGTTTTTTAGGTTTAGTTAGCTGTAACTAAAACTATTATTAAAACATATTCTTGGTCACGTAGAAGGAAAACAATAGAATAATAAATATATTAAAACAATAAAATTCTCACGACGTTTCGACTGCAACACAAGCAATCATCATCAGGTGTAAAATCCACAGCAAGACTAATTTTGGGTTCAATCCCGATCCGCTTGCTGTATATTAGGAGTTTGCGTGTCTCTCTTTCTCATCATCATGACGGTGGCTAGGAGATGTTAACTACCTCGCCTGGTGTACAGGAGGTCGTGGGTTCGACTCCGACCCTGACGACGCCTGCTGCTGTATATTTGGAGTTTGCGTGTCTCTCTCTCTCATCATCATCACGGTGGCTAGGAGATGTTAACTACCTCGCCCGGTCTACAGGAGGTCGTGGGTTCGATCCCGACCCTGACGACGCCTGCTGCTGTATATTTGGAGTTTGCGTGTCTCTCTCTCTCTCATTATCATCATCACGGTGGCTAGGAGATGTTAACTACCTCGCCCGGTCTACAGGAGGTCGTGGGTTCGATCCCGACCCTGACGACGCCTGCTGCTGTATATTTGGAGTTTGCGTGTGTCTCTCTCTCCCCGTGGTCGCGTGGATTGTTCTCTGGGTACCTTCTGTTCAGCCTCTCCGTATTTAGAACTCGACGTCACGCGTTCAGAATGTTTGGCCGCTGCCGTCAATTTCCACGCGACGGTGATCGGCCGCTTCGTTGAGCGATCGTTCGTGGCAGTCGGACTGCTCCTGACATAGAGCCGCGTCGCTCAATGGAAATTATCCGGCGAAAGAAAGCAACCGAAAATTTACCCGTAAAAACTAAGTTTTTCACTATAAATCCTTTATATGCGTGGCATCGGTTTCATTTTATTATTCATTTCTGTTTTTCTTGAGTAAGAGTTTCATTTTTATCACATTGGTATTTAAAATTAAATATTTAAAAAAAGATTCCTAAAAAGTGGAAAATTTTGGAAAAAAAATTTTCACGAAAATAAATTGTCACACACAACGAGTCTGTGTGCAAAATTTCAGCTCGATTGGATCACGGGAAGTGGGTTAAAAAACGACCGAAAGATTTGCACGGTCGTAAGCGCGCAAGCAAGCAAGCAAGCGAACTTAATATAAAGGATTTAAAAAACACCTATTTAGATCGTTTTAAGAGGTGTTACGACCACCTTTCGATTTAAAGCTTTCGTGACTGCAGGGATTCATCTTCGTGGTTCTTTCGGTAAAGTCACGTAGAAGGGAAGTAATAAAATAATAAAAATAAAACAATTAAATTTCGATCTAAAGCTTTCGTGACTGCAGGGATTCATCTTCTTGGTTCTTTCGGTATAGTCATCACGTAGAAGGGAAGTAATAAAATAATAAAAATAAAACATAATAAAATAATCCATTCTTCACCTGAGGGACGGCTGCTTGCGTTGTGGCCGAAACGTCGTGAGAATTATTTTATTATGTTTTACTTTTATTATTTCATTACTTCCCTTCTACGTGACTTTACCGAAAGAGCCAAGAAGATAACGACCACCTTTTCGCCGGTTTGATGGATGGAATAAACGTGGACGTCGTGAAAGAAGCGAGACCAGATGCTTGCAGAGCA